TGGTTGGTGGCTTGAATTTGATATTTTATAATTGATGCAATATAGAGGGTACTTCGGGACTCTGCCAAACTCTGCCAATCTAGGTAAGATTATAATTTATCATTCATCCCAAGTGCAGTGAATGCCAAATAAACCAAAGTACCTACCTAGGCGTCCGTAAATTCTCATCGTCTGGCTATGAGCAAAGCCCAAGGAGAATCTCGCGCTGGTCCGATCGACCCTTACATTGCAAACCACGGAAATAAAATACTGTAGGTGTAGGATGTCTAATTCTTTGTGCTGGGGTTTTAGTTTCGTCTGATGATCCGTCTTGAAGGGTGTTTTTATCATTCAATCTCCATTATTGTTGTCATTTGATCTCGTCTTTCCAGGGTTGTTTTGGGTGGTTTTTTCTGTATCTTCTCATCTCAGGCTTGATTCCGAAGTTGATTAATTTATATGCCGGTTGCTTCTGGGCATTGCACTACACGCACCACTCAGGTGGTACTCTGAGATATCTCTAAAGCATCAAATATTAGGAAGTTTGGAAGTTTATATACCTTCAAAGGTTCCTGGAGAGTTGGTAACGCGGGCCTGGGGCTAGGCTTGAATAGTGGGAGGAGAAGAAAAACGGACTTTGGGGGTGAAGTGATGTAATTTAGATGATCATGTCTCGTGGATGGATATAAGCCATGGGCACGAAACGAAGTTTCATTCCAGTGCACATTTTTCTGAAAGGCACAAGAAGAGTGGGGACATGTATTTGACTAAATAGACTGAGCATTATATAAGAGCTTACAGCCGTTCCCATTTTTTGACAGAAATACGCAACCTGAACCATCCCACCATTCTCAATAGAATCTCTGTAAAGTGTATAATTGGAAGTCGGGTCCGGAAACTTGATATGGTATTACTGAGTAGGTAGTGGATGCAATCACTATTATCTTATCTTATATTAAAAGATTCCTATGTATGAAAGCATCCCGCTCAGACTTTGGTTTCTCGCTGTCATTTTTCGGTTTTATATTTAATAATTACGGACCCTAGTTGAGAAGATAAGACCATTCAAAAAATTTCCTAATGTGACGTCTGGCCCCGACTTCCATTTCCAGAACCTCTTCCCCTTTCAGTTCATATTTTGCCTGTCCATAATTTGTTCCGTCATCAAGATCAAGCCATAGGTACCTATGTAATGCCTATCAAGCTCTGATAATTCCATAAGAGAATGGCCATTAGTTTTCGACCAGAGATCAGAGCTCCTTCTATGTTGAGATTACACCGAGTAATTGAAAATGAGATATATGTTGATTCCCCGGCTTCAAGAATGGATTTGATTTAATTATTTTGGGTGAATTGAGTGTGTGAATCATTGTGGCGTTAGAGGTTCAATGGCGGAAATAAGCGCGAATATTATAATTAAGCGAGTTTATGGGAGGGGTAGGAAAGCGGGGGTTTGGAGCTGGCGAGTTGGAGCTGGCGAGTTGGTAAGGGTCTTGATCTCAAACTGAAATGGCACTGTGCAAGAGCAGAGTGCGAGACCCTGCGATGAGATCTGAGATAGAATTTGGGGTAAGACATTCAATTAAATGTGTCGAGTTGAACTCTCGTAGATTTTGTTCTTCTTTGTTATCGATTAAGGAGAGGATTGGTCTACTTTTTGGCAGGTAGTCTCGACTTTTGTTATCGTCGATGGAAGTGCATAAGAGATGAGAACAGGAAGTAGTCTAGAATAGCTTTAGTGCTAAACTCATTAGGTATCCCAATTCTAACCCGAGATTGCGTCTAATATAAGCAGAATCTCTGAATTCTCTCCAATTTTCCCCTTTGAAAATCCTGTCGAGAAATATCTTACTAAGTCGCTACTTGGACGGATATTGGGGATATTCACTTGCTATTACGAGGGGTAACCTGAACCATCGTATCCAATTCTGTTTTAATTCGTTCGACTGAGGGGGAATTTGTGATCATTCACTAGATACCGCCAAAAATCATATTACCTTGAGAGTTCATTATTGTTCCCACAAGATGCATAAATAATGTTGTATAGCCGCTGTACAGGGTAAAACTGACACAGTTCCTAGAGCACAAGTTTCTCTACAGGCTGCGTTTAAAAAGAAGGGCCTTGATTCTCATACGTTTCAAATATGATTGGCGGGTTACTGCTTAATATTTTCCTCTTTCAGATTAATGGTGGGAGGAAGAAAGATGATGGTGTGAATGAAGTGATTGCTGTCGAATTTAACCAAATATTACTCGCTATCGCTGGGTTAGACATCTTAAAATCTAAAGATATGACACCGGAGAAGATGATTTTCTTATTCTAAAGACCGAGAGTTCATGTGAACCACCAATCCCAACAATCCCATCTTGGAAGCGTTTTCTTCTCTATTTCCGTTTAGTTTACCTCGTTATGTTTTGAGTGTCTTTTATGAACTAGAAGTTAGACAGACTCTGCCCCGCGAAAATAGTCATAGTCCTTATGGCTCAATCGATTTCTGACCAGTCTCACTGTACACCACACACTTCTTGACCGGCAGTATAAAATACTTTAAGATCCATCACTTAGATATTACATGGGCACAAGACCCCAAAACAAAGGGTAGCATGAATTCTAGTAAGCTTGGAAAATCTACATGGTTCTCTCAGACAAGCGTATATCGAATCTTAGAGCATAGTTGAGAGATTTAGTATTTTATTACGAAAACTTCAAGTTGTTTGTCTCAAATGAGATATTATTGCCGTCATACATTGTCCTAGCTTGACTCGATGCAAAAAAGGTATTTCGACAGCAGTGATTGAGACATCAGAAGATGACCGTACACTAAAAGGACCGTGATTGATTGATAATCTTGTCCACTTGAACATGATGTCCGAAAGGCCTCCATTTCAAACAAACAAGTTTTCCATTAAACTACAAGATAGGCCTTTTGATGTTGCAGTATACCCACATACATAGAGATCGGGCTCAATACTTTTATAGACCTCCCTTCTATTCGCAATACACACATGAACTCACCCACCATCCATGCCCCTCTCATATACTGCACCAAACTTAGTGAATTGACTGGATGAGCAAGGCATTGGAATTTTCTCGGCTTTTGAGTTCCACGTCGCAGAGACTGCATAAAAAGGGTGGAAATCCAGATAGGAGGATTGTTGAGGTATAGTTTTATCAATTGATACACCCATGGCAAGACTTGCATGAACAATTCAGAAATGGACGATCTGCTGAATCAAGGAAAACTTGCTTTGACGGTCAGAAAAGGTCAGATTATCATATTTCCTGGTATATATCATCCACACTGTCATTTCTTTTGTTAATATTGACTTACATATTAGTTTAGATGATAATAATTTCATGAGATTGGTGAACTTGCAGGACCAAGTTTATATTGGCGAGATTGAAAGCAGCAGGAGTGGAAGGGGAAAAGGAGAACTGGCCAACTTGACAAGGCAATCTACAGCTGTGTGATTCAGTATAGGCAGGAAGGCGCGCTTCTATGCTTAATGGTGTGGTAAAGTTGTCGATATGAAGAGTGAATAGATAGCGAATCGGCTTTACAAAGATCCATCTTTAACAGACCAAATATGTCTACCAAAATTCACTTGAGGGGGTTAGGTTGTTGTGAATGGGCTCCAGCATTTTGAATAAACTGGTGAATGTGGAGCCATTGCCTCAAGCCCCTCAATATTTAAGGAATCGCTTTCCCTAGAAATTCGAGTCCAAAAACATTTACAATACCAAGTGAAAGAGATGACAAAGCTATGGTGATCAGCAAACTAGCGTTAATTTAACCCGGTATAAACACAACTTCAAGTTGGAAAAAATTAAAACTTCGATGATATTTACTGGACATTTTGAGATGGAAAATGCAAATTAGAAAGACAACAAAAAGGCCTGTCGGTATATCAAGGACGGCAGTGGCCTATATGGAACTTAATGGGATGACAATCACAATACACAAGGACAGAATACAACTCTCTTCCTGGTAAGTAATCAATTGACGGACTTTTTGACAAAACTTGCCTCAGACTCGAAGCAAGTTATAAAGATAGAAATTGCTCAGAGGCCAGGAACTCATAAAATCAGCTCCCTGATACTTTAAAGTTGATTTTGAGTTCGTGGACTCTTACAGGTAGCTAGGTCTTTTATATGCGCATACGCCGCCTAGAGTGCTAGGATACCATCATCTTTAAGAAACAGATTCACCTACGAGCTCATGATTCATATGTTCAATACCTTTCTGGTCCGCAGCTTCACTGTCGAACAAGCAAGCAATGACAAAGAATGGTTGAATTCACTTGATAAAATTCATATATTGTACAGTATGCCCAGGTCTGTTGCCGTTTCCTGTTCCGAATAAATCCAAAGAGATAGTTGGGGGATTCGCAGAGCAGGCCAAAGCCATTTACTCATACGACAGTTGGTGTGATATCTGAGAGAATATATATATATATATATATATATATATATACACTTGTTACTTTCGTTCAAATTATTTATGTAGACCAACCCATCTGTCTAAGAAAATGGTGGCGATGATTGTTCATATCAAAATTAACCTTGGAACGCATTCACATCGTTAATTTTAAACCTCGAAGGCCAAAAGACTTCTCATAGTATCGCAGGCCCATTTTCTCAATCAGTAAATGATGCGGAACATAATCTTTTTACATGAGAAAACAATACCACCAGCTCTAACGCAAAGTGTTCCGGTGGCTCAGTACGAAAATTTCACCATCAATGTACAGCGGGCACTTGCCATGATCAATATGAATTGGACTCTTCTCGTAGTGAGAAAATAAACCCATTACCATACTCACATAAAAATTCATCACCACAACTCAAGACAATCACCTCAACTGTTACCAAATATCAAACCCCAATCCAAACAAGGAAAGAACCACCCCTTACCAGCCCCTCTCACCCCACCTTCCCCGACACCACTACCACACCACTCACTTAATTCCACCTACATAATCCCAAATAAACAATCCTCATGCATCAAACAACACCAAAAGGTCGCGTAGCTCAGCCGGTTAGAGCACCGTACTAATAATGCGGGGGTCGTGAGTGTAAGTTATCATCTGAATATCCTTCCATGTATCATTACTAATTATCTTGTGTAGTCAAGCCTCATCGTGATCATTTCTTTTTTTGTTTTTTTGAGGCTCGATGGGGAGGTTTTGGAAGCTGGTTGTATTTTGAGTTGGGGCTGCCAGTAGAGTGCTGTTCTAGGAGTACCTAGGTTGGGTTGAATGAGGTCAAACGCTCGATATTATCATGGCAAGAATTCTACAAAGGATGTAAGATCTTATACTAGGTATATAAAGCATAAGGTTAACGAACCTGTGAATGTTGGAAGGTCCTTGATGATTTTGCCTGCGTCGATATTTTCCCATCGATCTAAGTAAAGTTGATAGATTGTTGAGAGATATCATCATTTTTGCCACCACTCATTACACTTTCAACGAATTGTGAATTGCATTATCGTCGATTCACATATAAATTACGTTGGACTGTCGTCAGGCATCGCTGATGAATGATGATATTGCGAACAGATTGACGAGAAAGAAACCAATTCATCTTGGATCGCAATTGTGATGGTGATATCCAGGGTCCCGCCTAGTGAACCAATTGGTTAGACATTTTTGGATGGTAATATCTGAACAACTTGATGTAGAAGTTAACATACTATATGCTGATAGCGTATTAAGGTGAATAATATATATTCGTGGCTCGGAAGGTTTTATCAAACCACAATGGGAGCCCAAATTAATTCCAACATTAACATTCCCCACAAAAGATATTTATCACGAGAACTAAATTATGAGAATGAGGGTCAATTTTGAATAAGTGTGCAATATGGGGGACTTCGAGATAATGGCTTGAAAAAAGATTGTGGATTGATTGTACTGTGAGAAAAAGAGAGCCAAAATAGGCAGTGTCGCTTGACCCCACCTACCCCTATCGGACTTTGTCTATGCTGACTAGGAAAGAGAATGAAGGTACCTCTTTTGTATGCCGTGTCACAGGAGCTCGAGGTATCCTGGGGGTCAATAGTTGCAGGTAATATCAGGCCATATCATTTTAAAAGAAGACTAATCATTCCGATGGCACACGGGTTTTTAGAATGTAAAACAGTGTTGTGATGTGATGATGACGTGGCATCAAGACCAGACTATGGAATTTATATTCATCTATCTGCTCCTCATTCTAGCCCTGAAACTGAGCCATGTCGTAGGGTACATATCCGGTTGAAAGGGAGCGAAGGCAAGGAATATTTCATTAAAGGCCCTCATCTAGAAAGGTCTGATGTTGAAGTTCCACTCGGATAATCTCTGCATTGATATCATCGCTCATGTTACGTTAAAGTTCAAAGGAATGCTGATCAGCTGGTCATTTTGCAACTGTCAGTCGTTTAACGAATCTAGAGGGTCCTCCCATAGTTTTTGCGATATTATATCGAAGGAAAGTCTTCATAATAATTAAATTGTATTGATCAGAGAAATGGCATTGGATTTCAGAATCTTAAGTCTGTCATACGGGTGTCTGATATCAATCCGCGATGAAACTAGTTTTCATTTTTACCGCTTCGTCGTGAACTTCAGGGAGTGCCTCAGCCCGCTTCAACCATTTCATACCCTCTTCCTTTTGACCCTGAGATTTACATATGGAAGCCAAGTTCAACATACTCAATCCAAATCCACCTTCAGCTGCCACTTCAAACCATTCTTTAGCATACCCGTACCTTCGGTTTGCCGGCTTTTTGTGGGCTTGATCGCCATATTTTGATAACTCAATGGCACCAAGATTGTGACATGCTTCAGGAATGCCTGCACCAGCCGCTTTAAGTAAATAAACCATTCTATCATCCTCCTCACCAGGACCCGTGTGTTTAGAGAGATAAAAGAATGCTGAAGGATAATCGAGATCTAATGCTGCTTTTTTTAAAACCTGCTTTGCGGCTTCTTTATCAGACTTTTCGAGAATCAAGCCAAGAACAACGAGTGCCTCCGCAGCTCCTTCGAAAGTTGGCACTTCTGGTCCGGAAACAGCTTTCTCCAACCAATCTCGAGCTTCAATTTCCTTTCCTTGACTGTAAAGAATTTGACCAAGTAGTCCCATAGCCTGGACGTTCTGCTCCTTCTTTGCTAAAATACCTAGACGTTTAAAAAAACTTCCAGACCTTGCGGTATGTAGCTGGTTCCTTCGGAAAGCATCAGATACAACCTCTAATGTAGCCGCGGCATCACCCATCACTGAAGCCAAGTCTATCAACCTTCTTCCTAGTGCTTTTTGTGCCAGTTCTTTGCATCTCCCCAACGAGATAGATAATTGTGTCACATCAGATCCCGTGAGACCGTGCTCTAAGGAATATTAGTATCTTATATACGCCACAAAAATTGCAACTTACTATTGCAAACTTCAGTCTCCCAACCTGGCTTTGCTTTCCGATGGCAAATTTGATAATCTCGTAGGAATTCCATGGCTTTGTAAGGGTCTAGTTTTAAGACTCCAGCTTTATGATCCGTCACTAGGATAAAAAGTGGCGGGAGAGCATCAGGAGAATCAATTGGTACCGTCTTCCGCATCTTCACTGGATCAGCAGCATTTCTCTTTGCTACTGTTTGCTTTCTTGATGGCTTGACACTGGTGGCAAGTAATCTGGGGGTAGTATGGATTGACCTTTGGTTTAACAATCGGAGGCCATGTCGAAAATGAGGAATTGCTCTGGAAGTCGACATGATTCCAGGTTTGTATATAGACGATCAAATAATGTCACCTCAGTCAATGATGGATTTGATATCTCGTCAACAATTCAACAATTCAAGAATCACAAGTTTGAAGTTAACCAACCTTACATGACAGGGCAAGCTTCTGCCATCCTGGAAGCAAGAAGGCGGTGAACCCAATAAAATCTAGCGTCATAGCTTTTTCCCGGGCACTAAAGAAATCTCACAGATTTTTTACAGCTTGTTCTACAGACAAGGCCCACACACACCTTTTACAAATTATTTAAAGTTCAACCCAATACAGGTTTTTCTGCATGTTCGCCAGATTTTTAGGATCGTCCTCGAAAGATTGTGTTCTATCGGACGACCCATTAACTCCTAGTCAGCAATTGCGCGAAGAAAGTAGGAGAACTCTAAGTATGGTTACTACGCGGGGTAGAGCTCGAGAATTGGCAGATACTCCTTCTACGGTTGGTAAAACTCGCGAATTTACGGATACTCCTTCTGTGGATGGAGACTCTATAGCTTTTGATGAGGGTACTCCAGTTCCAAAGAGGAGAGGGCGACCGCGCAGACTTCCGGTGGAGGATGAAGAGGTTGTAGTTACTCCGCGACCCACGAGAAGCTCAAGCAAATTACCGATCCAGGCAAACGATGGAGAAGTTACGCCAAAGCAACCCCCCCAAGTGATTGCGGAGGTACCTGATTCTGTGGATCAAGATATGGGCGATAAAATGGATATTATTGAATTGGATGAAGGGAAAGATCAAGAGGGTGATAAGACGAAGGAGGAACCTGCTTCTGTAGAGGAACATGCTTCTGCAGAAGGACCTGTTTCTGTGGAAGAACCTGCTTCTGTTGAGGAACCCGTTTCTGTGGTGGAATTGGAAGAACCGCAAACCATTGAGGCAGATGAGGAGGTAATAAAAACGACAAGTGCCAATGGAGATATCACCACCTCATCGAAAACAACTACCACGGTCACAACTCCAGTCGCGAAAAAGCACAAGAAATTCGACAGTGCGGAGCCTGAGCCAGTACCAGAAGAGAAGATTGAAATAATTGAAATTGAGGATGACGAGGAAGAGAGTAGCGATGACGATGCACCTGAAGAGGTCACAACAAATCAGGCTGCACAATCCGCGAAAGAAAAGGAAAGGGAAGCGGCAAAAGCAATTGAGGAGTATGTTTCATCTTATTTTTGCCTACATAAATCGCTAACAAGGATACCAGGCAAGAGGCTGCTTCCAAAAAGAAACGCCAAGAGAAAAACGCCCTTCTCCAGCGCCAATCTGAAGTTTCGAGCAAGAAGCGCAAGCTTGATGTCACTTCCGGACAAGACGAAATGTTACCTCCTGCTCAAAAATCGAAGATCGAAGAAACATTGGTCCCAGGCACTAATGGAAGAGGAGATATCGAGATGGATGAGGAATCAAATACTTTGGAAGGAGAGGGGACTGCAGATGGAAGATTAGACTCCGAGGATGATATTGAGGAAATAGATAGGACCTTCGCACCTCCTGGGCATTTACCCCTCCCAGATCTTTTGCCAGCCGAATATCTGGAAGACGACGATGATACACCAAAATCTACTCATCTCCATTCAAGCCTACCTACAAGACTCCCGAAAGCAAACAAGCTACGAAATCTATTGGAGAAACGACCGAAGGACAAACGAGTGGGCTCAACTACATTCAGGGTTGCGGAAAGTCGAAACACACATTTACCCCCCAAAGCATCGAATCAAGCACGCGCGCTGAAAGAATCATGGTTACAAGGGCGGGCAGGGACCAAGACCAAGCCAAATCGGAAACCTTTCAATCAAGGCTTTATCAAGCCTAAGAATTAGGGTCGAAGCTATGTTTGGAGATTACGATGATACAACCGAAGCTATTTACGGGGATTCTTGCTCGACACAATCTGTATTATATATGATCACAGAATCTCATGTTCAGAACATACCCATGATGTTTGGATAAGAGGCATGAATTTTAGGGGATGAGAGAGGAGCTAGTCTATGATGGGAAGAGACACCACAAGCGGGAATAGAAACCCCGAAGATATCAGGATATGGTTATATAAGATGGGTGTTTGGTTGAGTTTGGCGCATGGGAACAAGGGAGTAACGAATGGGATTCCCAATTTAAATCATTGATCAATAAGGATCGAGAATAGAAGTCTTTGCTAGATGAGAATCAATTGAATTCAACTGAGTTCAACCATACACTCTTATTACTGCGCGATGTTTTCACCGTCCCATACTTACTTATATTCGACATATTGTATCATGCTGCCTTTCACTCCGTGAACAAATGCTGCTAACTGAATTATCTCTCCATCCCAAATTTCTCTATCCTGTAAAACTCGCCTGGAACCCCTTCTAGGCAGTACTCGCTTGCTACACGACTGCCG